TCACTCCTTTCTCGCTCACTCATTTAACAGAAATCCTTACAGCCTCTCCACTCCCTTGTGAAGGAAGCCAAATGCTCCCTTCAGTCTCACAATCCTGCGTCACCCACACTTACCTTGTCATCAATGGTGTCAAATTTGGTAAGGACAATGCCATCAATGAGCCGGGGTGTCTGAGCCATAGAATGGTCAGCCAAGGCTCTGTTGAACTTGACCTAGAAAGGAAAAAGGTGATGTAAGAGCCACTGACTTGCCAAAGGTTTCAGCTGTACAGGGAACTAGGCCTAAGCCCTTACCAGCTGGTCCACGGCTTCGTTGCCCACTAAGGCCTCCCCCACAAACAGCACCAAGTCAGGTGTATTGACAGTAATGAGTTTGGCCAGGGCAGTCATCAGGGGGGCATTGTCTTGCATGCGGCCAGCCGTGTCCACCAGTACCACATCAAAGCCTTGGTTGCGTGCTAGAGAGAGAGAAGTCAGCTCAAACATTCACCACACACTGACTGCCAGCTTTAATCTAGCTCTGTGGAAAACTTATCTGTTCACTTACTCAGGCTCTAGGTTTGGTCCCAAGGTGATACTACCTGTCTTACTGTTGACCACTACCAAAACCATTGTGGAAAAGGATGACAACAGGATAAAGGTGACCAAATTCAGGTCTCTCGGGTTGGGACGCTAGCTTTGCCTACACCTATACACATTACCCAAAAGCAGAGCCCAGCACATAACTAACCCTGACTTTTCTCTGCTGCTGAAGATTGTAGTAGTGTTAGCCTGATTATCTGAGAACTATAAGGAAGCTAACGAGGAAAAGGGGCCCCAACAAGCCCACATGCTTCCTGTGCACTGTACCAAAGGCAATGGCTTCCATGGCAATGCCAGCAGCATCCTTGCCATAGCCCTTCTCAAAAAGCTGCACCATTGTGCGGCCACCATGCTTCTCCGGGGGGTGCAGGGCACTCAGCCGCCGCGTGTGTGTACGAAGCTGCTCCACAGCCCCAGCGCGAAATGTATCACAGGCAGCAATCAGGACACTGAAGCCATTCTCTAACAGCCAGAAGGAAATCTGTAACAGTAAAGAAAACTCTCTCCTAGACCCAGGTTCCAAGACACAGAGAAGGAAGTGTAATAGTGTCAGTGACAGGCTGGGAAACTGCACAGACCTTGGCAAGATTAGTAGACTTGCCCACCCCATTAACACCACAGAAGGTGACAACATAGGGGCGCTGGTGACGCTGGGCATCCATGATATCCCGAAGCATGTCCACACGACGCTGGGGCTGCAGAATCTGCACCAAGGACTCCTGCAGTGCTTGCTTGACTGTGGAAGTCACCGCTGCAAGAGGGAGGGGGAAGCACAGCCATGAAACCTAAGGAAGTTACCCAAATACCCAGCACCTTGCAGGGCGTGCTGGTGTATGCCTATAATCCCAGCCTCTGGCGAGGCGGAGGCAGGGGGATGCTGAGGTGAAGGCCAATATAGTGACTGACAAAACAAAGACACCTTTCTGAGCTAAGGGGTCTAAGCATGCTAGGATCTTATCCCAGGAATCTAGATCATACTGTTGAAGCAACTTTAACATACTCATGCTAGTAACTGTTGGATAGGTGATAGGATACAGGTTTGTAAGTTAAAGAATTTGCTGTGAGTCACAACAATAGGGCAGACACTTGCATGATAAGCATGTTCTGGCTTACAGATACTTACTACTGAATGTCCCCATCACCTTCCCTTCCAACTTGTTAGCAACAGATTCACAGAGCTGGACAGCAATGTCTGCAGCCACATTCTTCGCTGATGAGAGAGCAAACGGTGTGAGATTTGTGTCAACAGTGATGGATCGCATAGTGCAGCGGAAAAGCCAGGTTCTGCTCCCAGCCATCCCAGTCTCAGAACTTACCAATGAGATGATCACGCATCTTGTCCAGCACAGATTCCATGTCTTCACGGCTCAAACTCTTGGAACCCACTAGGCCCTTCAGCATTCCAAACATGCCACCCAGAGTACCTTTGGTAGCACTGCGGGTACAGGGTCAGAGACATGTAAGCCCCAGCAGGAATCAGGGCCTGTCAGTCCTGCAGCTGAACATACCACCCAACCTGGAATCCTACCTAGGTTTGGTGGAGTTTGGCACAACCCCTTCATCTTCTGAGCTGCTACAATCCAGATCCTGAAGCTGCCCCCCAAGCCCAGTCCCTCGAATCTAGAGGATACAGAGAAAGGAAGAAGATGAGGTCAGAACACAAGCTGAGGGCAAAAAGCAGAGTTTACCCTGTCCACACTGGGACGGAAAGCTCCAAGAGTAATTCACCCCTTTGCACAAATGAATCCTGGTATCATCCTCTTGGTCTTTCTTTCCAAATTTCTAACTAGCAGACCTTCACTCTGCCTCTTACCAAGTTGATATCCTCTGACAGGGCAGCCTCTGGGGTTCCATTGGTGGTGGGGGTGCTATAATCCAAGACTTCCTTGTTAGCACCGCCACCTAGCTCCCACACACGAGGTGCTTTTTTGCCTTTCTCCTTTGGAGCATCTGACTTCATGGACTTGCTGCGAAGGGTCACAGACAAAGGGTTACAGTGAGGGAAACAAATGAGTCAGAAACAGCGTACTGGCCTCCAGCATAGCTAAGTAACAGTCTATGAGAGCGCTAATGGAAGACTGCTCACCTGGACTTGTCCATACCCCTCCCATGCTTCTGAATGAACTCCTCTCGCTTCCTGCGTATCAGCTCTTCCTTAGAAAGTTCTCCATTCTCAGGCCCCGCTGGGAGACCTGACTTTTCTGCAGGGGGTGCTTTGTTGGTAACTGAAGGGCCATCAGAACCTGTTAAGAGAAACTCCACTGGTGAAAACAGGACCAAATCCCAGCCAGACATGGCTAGAAGTCCTCCACATCCTGGAGAGGACACAGCCCAGACACCTTGGGGATGAAGCCCCGAGATGATGGCGAAGGTGGTGAGCGAAGAAAGGGAGGCAAGCAATGGCGAAAAGAAGGACGCCTCAGTCCTGAGCACTACGGCAACACCTTTCACGCCAGCACAGCCAAGGAGCTCAAGCACACCTGCTTTCTTGGCCCCCTTTTTTTTGCTGTTCTTTGCTTTTTCCTTGGGCTTTTCACGTGTTTCAATCATGGACCTCACAGGTTTTTTGGCCTTTTCAAAATCTTCAAATTTCTTCATAGTAGTGGGAGCACGGATTTTACTGCTCTCCTCTGCTTCACTAAAGGGAAAAGAGAATGATTTATCTTCCTACCCATGCTGGAGAAATATGTAAAAATCCAGCAAAAGGACCCCCATACTAAAAAGACATGACAGAACTGGGCAGCAAAGATGGAGTGGTTTTGAACACCCAATTTACTATCGTTGAATGGCCTTCAGGAAGACAGCTCATCATGTCAGGGAAACTGATCTTGGAAGAGGGAAGCCTCACCGAAGGAGCCGCAGGAAGTCATTCTGGAAATCAAAAGTGCCATTCAGTAGACTTAGAGCGCTCTGCTGCTGGATCTCAGTGCGGTATTTGTCCCGAAACAGCCGGTGCACATCGTCTATCAATTTGTCTACATATGTCAGTGTTAGTATCTTCTGAAAACCAACCTGTTTAGGGAAAAACACAGAGCCAACAGATCTGTTTACATGCTAGCCCAGAGTGGAGGCCCGCCAGCTCAACCTGTCTCCAGAGATAGGATCAGCCACCTGGCAGGTTTCCCTGTCCTGAGAGGCAGCCAAGCTCTCTGCCTGGTCCAGAAGTTGCCTTTCCCCCCTCCACCTACCCAGTTTTCTCAGTTACTTCAACAATTAAAGCTGGGTGCAATTAATAACTATGTTTTCTTAGTAACTGTTAAGGACTACGCTGAAAATGTAACCACTGTCCCTCTCAAATACCCCCACTTACCACAAACACCAGCTCAAACTGGTTGTCCAGTTTGTACTTGAGTGTGAGGGCCTCATGGGTGAAGGAGTTGTTACCTCCCCGTTCCTGGAAAAAAAAAGTGTGTCTCAGGGTATGAGATATCCCCAGAAAAACCAAACTGGGACACCCAAATTACCTTTGGGAAGTACCAAACAACCTTCCAAAGTCAAACCTGTCCCTAGGGCAAGAAGATACTGTGGCATTTCTAACACCCCACCAGAAAGAAAATCCCATGCTGCGGGTGGGGAAAGACTGCGAAGGCGGACCACACACGTGGGAGGAGAAGGGACGTCGTCGCATATAAACAATCGGAACCAATGGCAGCTGCGCACCACTTTTCTTACGAGGTGTTTTCCCATCCATAAGCTCTCCCAGCCTCAAGACAAGAAAAAATAAAGATGCTGAGGGCGAGTGGAGAGATGAGAAGAAAACCCCAAGGGGCGCAGGTTTCTGCCTACAGTTGCCCATAACCGAGGTGGGGGCGTCGCTAAGTTATGGGTTAGCCTGACGAGGACACAGCAAAGTACAGTTCGGGTGACCAGTGAGTGGCCGGCCTGCGGTGGCTGGGAGGATGGGAGAGAAGACGCAGAATCATTACTCGAAGAACCCTGGTCGGTGTCAGGGAGAAAAAAAGAGCCCGGAGTTGTGATTCCGCGGGGAAGGTACCTGCAGCAGCACGGAACGGATCAACGCGTTAACGGGCCCGGTGCATGAGTCGCTCACGCCCTGGAAGCACCAGAGCACAAGGCCGCCCTTGGAGAAAATGGTGAAGAAGTCGAGCATGGCGGCAGCGGGAGAGGAGCTGGGACCGGCGCCGGGAACTCGGGCCGCGATCGCCGCCGCTTCCTGCTGCGCCAAGCACTGGACACGTCACACCAGCGGCCCCGGAAACCGGCTGAGCAGCACTTCCGCTGGGGGCGCCGGGTGCCCTCCCCGGCCTGTCCCGAGGGCGCGCAGGACTGACGTAGACTAAGGGCGGGCCAATGAGGGATAGGCCAATCTTGGGCGGGGCTCCCGTGAGGTCACGGGGCGGGTCGGCTGCCTATAGGGCGGAGAGGTGGGCCCCAAACTGACCGCTGGCCAATGGGCGTGCTCGCCTGAACTCGTGGCGGTGGCGGCCGGGATGCCGTAGTAGTAGCAGTATGGGCTAGCCAGCTGTCAGAGGGGCTCTGCGCAAGAGCCATGCTTCGGAGGGTGCTGCGGACCGGCCTGGGCCGGAGCCTCTTGATCCGGGAACTAGGCGCAAGCAGTGGTAACTCCAAGCTGGGTGAAGCCGAGGGTATCGTGGTTCTGGTGTGACCTTCAAGGCCCGCGCTGGCCGGACTGTGGCCAGACTGGGGAAAGTTCGCCTGCCAGAGCTCTTAGCCCCGCATTTGTATGGATATTGAGGCGGCCGTTCCCCAGGGACACATCACACTTAGAAGGAGGTTTGCAGGTGGTGATGGGTGTCCAGGGGCGGCTAAGGTAAGGTGCCTGTTGGGCGCTGCAGCTAGTGCGCCAGCACCTTTTGTCCTGTGGGTCTGGGATACCCTAGTAGAGATGACCTTGCATTTGAATATCTTTTTTTGGGGGGTGGGGGTACCAGGAACCGAACTCAAACCATGCTTGCCAGGCAGGCGCTGTGCTGCTGAACTAAATGTCTTGCAATTTGAGGATCTTGAGGCTGGCGCTTAAGTGAAAGCGGGCTTAGTTCAGACGATACTCATATGACAGTCACTTTACCCTGGAGACAGTGGAAAGTGCCAATTTTAGGAAGTTGAACATTGCAGTGCGGAGCATACTGCTGGTCAGGCAGGTTGACTACGTGAACCACGCAGCAAAGCTGTGACAGTACCGCCGGGAGAGAGGAGAACTTGTGAGGAAGCAGGGACTTCCGACCCAAGCGTTTATTCAGCCCACCTTTTCGTGGGCCCACTTTGGCAAAGAGACATAGGCCTTCTAACCCTAACACATCCCACAGGCAAGGGTAGAAATGTGTCGGAGATGAAGAAGAAGATCCGGTCGCTCCTGCCTGGAGAGCCTGACAACTTCATGTATGACACCAGGCACCTGCCCCCCGAACGCTCCGATGTGGTGATTGTCGGGGGCGGAGTGATTGGCCTGTCCGTGGCCTTTTGGCTGAAGAAGCTGGAGAAGAGACGAGACGGCATTAGGGTGCTGGTGGTGGAACGAGACCAGACGGTAAGCTCTGGGGTCGGCAGAACGGGGAGTCCAAAGGCAAGGGAAGACAGAGGGAGAGACCTCAGTCCCAGGGAGGCCTGGAGGACAGCGACTGTGCTTTGGACTTCAGACCTTGCTGAGACAGTCCCAGTTTCTTCCTCCCTCAGACCAGGATCCTTGACAATAAGGTTTTTGCTTTTGAAGGCAAATTCATTCCAGTGTTGGATTTTCCAGATGACAGGTCTGGCCAAGAGACCTTGCATTTTAGGCTGTTAATTAATGGAAACAGCTGTCTCAACTTTGTTTTAGATTCTGTTGTTTTTAAGAATTTGTTTTTCTAGACTGGGCGTGGTGACACATGCCTGTAATCCCAGCACTTGGGAGGCTGTAAACAGGAGGATCACTATGAGTCCGATCTACACAGTGAGACTCTGTAGACCGTGTAGACCCTGTCCTAAATAGAAAGGGGGGAGAGATAGCTCAGTAGAATAAGTGCTTGCCTGGCAAGCGCAGGGTCTTGAGTTCAATCCCCAGTATGGCAAAAAAAAAAAAAAAAAACCAAGAATTTGTTTTTCTGGGATTTTTTTTGTTGTTGTTTTCATATTTATTTATTTATTTTGAGTAGAAAAGGAGTCTTGCTGGGTAGCTTCAGCACACATTGTCATGCCCAGCTGTGTTCTTTTGCTTTTGAAGTTTCTGCGCTTCGGTTCCTATTTGCCATTCACTGTCTAGCCACAAGTCTTGGTACCTTGGTCCTTTCATTTTCTAATTAGTAATTATAGGCTTGGGATTTGGCTCAGTGGTAGAATGCTTGTGCTTGCAGACCCTAGGTTCAGTCCTTGGCACCAAAAACAAAACATGCACCTCTTCTCATTAGTAATTACATGTTAATTTCTTACCTTTGGACTTTACCATTATCATTTTGTTTCCTTGTTCTCAGCCTTTTTTTTTTTTTTTTTTTTTGAGACAGGGCTTTGCTATGCAGTTCAGACTCACCTTGAACTCACAGCAGTCCTCTTGCCTCAGCCATGGAGTGCTGGGATTACCACCAAGCCCAGCATATGCAGCCCTCGGCAGATGACTGAGCCTCACTACTATGCTCAGCTGCCAATGGTCATTTTACCAATGCGTCTTTGGGCTGCTGGTGGACTTGCATGTGAGATTCTCCACCCCAGCTGCTCTTAGGTTATCAACTTGCAAAGAGGGTTCCCCTTTAACTTCAGGTATAAGCCAGGCCTGGTGGCATGATAGGCTGAGGCAGGAGGATTGTTTTAAGTTCAAGACCAACCTGGGCTACAAAGTGAGCTCAAGGCTAGACTAAACTGCAGAGTGAGACCCTGTCTCGAAAAGCTTTAGGTGGTATAGCACTCAAGGCTGCCATCGCAGCCTTCCATTGTGACAGCGCACTGGTATGCTTCTGCTGCTCCTGTCTCTCCACAGTACTCAAGGGCCTCTACAGGACTTTCCGTGGGCGGGATTCGTCAGCAGTTCTCCGTACCTGAGAATGTGCAGCTCTCCCTCTTTTCAGTCGACTTTCTACGGAACATCAATGTATGTTCAGTATGATAGGGTGGGGGGTAGGGGCAGTGACAGTCAGAGAGAGAAGCAGCCCAGCCTTTGAGAGGAACCAAGGACCAGGACCAGGGCCGGGAGGATTTCATGCTAGGAGTTAGAGCCCTCCCTTGTCTTCCCAGCATTGGTGGCTAGAGGGAAGCACTCTTCTGGTTTAGAGTGCTGGACCCTGGGAGCTGTGGGTGATTTGGCCGGGAAAGCTTTTCCCCAGTTTTCCAAGGCAGCCTCTGTGAGCAGCTCTTCGTACACAGGAGCACTTGGCTGTGGTCGATGCCCCTCCCGTGGACCTCCAGTTCAACCCCTCAGGTTACCTCTTGCTCGCTTCAGAAGAGGGTGCTGCCATCCTGGAAAGCAATGTGAAAATGCAGAGGTGGGTGACCCACCAGCCCTGAGCTCTTTCTCAGCCTCGTGTTTTGGGGGAACTCTGGCACCATATTAGAGAGAGTGAGGCTGGAACTGATGAGACAGGTACCTGCTCTGCAGGAGCTCAGCCCATCAGGAAAGGTAGGCACGAAGCCCTTCTGGGTCCTGTGCCAGGGCTTCCTACAGATGAGGACAGAACGCAGCCATGGCAGACCCCACATTAGGGTCATGGGAACCACCATGCTGAATAAACTGGGTCTCAGGGAGTAGTCTGGGATAGGAGGAGTGTTTGCCTCTTTTTGTTTGTTTGTTACTGAGGATTAAATCCCAGGTCTTCACACTGAGCTAATATACTCAACCCTTTTTTAATTTTGAGACAGGGCCTTGCTGAGTTGCCTAGGCAGGACTTGAACTTGAGATCCTCCAGCCATGGCCTTACAAGTGCTAGAATTATAAGTGTTCATTACTGCACCTGGCTAGGAATCTGTGTTTTAGAAAAGACCTTCAGTCAAGATCAGCAAGCTCTTTGTGGCAAGAGCCAAATAGTAAATTTTTTTTTTGAATAGTAAATATTTTGCAAGTTATTCGACCCAGTTGTAGACAGTCAGCTCCACCATTATAGTACAAAAATAGCTATAGAAAAAAATGTCATTAAACCAGGTGTGGTGGTACATGCCTATAATCCCAGCACTCAGGAAGCTGAGGCAGGGAGTTTTGTAAGTTGAGACCAGCCTGGGCTACAAAATGAGCTCAAGACCAGCCTGAACTACATAATGAGACCCTGTATCAAAAAGAAAAAAAAATTCT